TTTTTGCTTAATACACAAAAGTGATTGTGATAATAAAATTTTGAGTTATTTTTATTTCACTTTGTTCAATTATTTCCGGCGATCTGCAAAATTGCCAATACTTATGGCAGGTGAGTGTATATAATATTAATAATAAAGCCTTTTCTTATTGTATATGGTTTCTCCAATAAGAAGAAATGCTAATGAAATTTGAAAAGGATAAGAGAGAGAGTGAGAGGGTTTATTGTTCTTATCAGTAATAATATTAAAACTCGTATGTTATGGAACTTGAGATCTTTACAATCTCCAAAGATCATCGAAATTTGTCTTATTTTACACTTTGAGAGATCATCAGGCTAAAGGGTTTAAATTCCCCAGAATGACAAAATATATTTAGTGCTTTGTGCTTGTGATTCTAATAGAATTGCCTTGTAAAGAAAGGATCTGGAAAATGGTTGGGGCAACGTAATTACCAATCATGTAATTTTCTCTTCTGGCAGGTTCTCAGGTTTAGCAAATGGAATAATATAAAATAAGTGGGTTTGGTTTATAATTTATGTTACCAATCTTATATTTTTTTATTGAAAAAAAGTCTACGATGAACAGAAAGCTTTCAGTTAAATTCAGTAAATAAATCCACCTATGACTCGTAGAGTTGCCCCTTAAGGGCCTGGCTTTATTATTAATGCTCATATAAAAACACGATTAAACAATAATACTTTTTTACATAGTGAAAGGACCAAATCAAATTTACCTCACAGTTCATGATGGGGTGATAATAGAATAGACAATGGAACAGTAAATCAAGGAAAATCTGCTGAACTGTAAGCTGCATGATTTCTCTAATTGTTTCAGAAGGAAGCGATTTTGTTTTGCATTTATATGCCTCATTCTCATTTCCACCACTCTGTGATCATAGGTCAATTCAAAAAAAGGAAAATGGTTCATATTTATTAGTTAATAATAATAATAACATAAGAATATCTCTTGATAATGTCATTTGAAATCCGGGACAATCAGAAAATCTGACAGTAGGAGGAATAGAATTAGAATTGGTATTCAATAGTGCTAAACCGGGAACCTACCAAGAAGATGCAGGCAGAGGTAGCATCAAGAGAGAATAATATATACATTTTTATATATATTTAATAAAATATTTTTATGCCTTTTTTGGGTGCTAGTTTATAATTCATCGGCTACATGATACGAAATATCGAATGGAATCCCTGGATCTTTGATTTTATCGCAATGCAAATAATAATGTTTATTGCCTTGATTATCTAACTATTACTTACCATCCAAACTCATGATTTTCTCTATGTAGTTGAAAATGTAAACTGAGAACCCAGTAGGCATCAGATTGATGCTTATCTTTCTTATCTATGTTAAAATTGAATGTGTCTCAATACTTTGATATAATATGTCATTATACATAAGATATTAATATGTCTCACAAATCTAGAAATAACAGATGTAAAACTCAAGGTAAATTTACCACGAATCCTACACAGTATATGCAATTTAAGAATCTGATTAAATATATGCCCATCATAGAAGGTGAAAATATAGTTATAATTAATAGGAATACACAAGATACAAAGGTAGTATTTGACTATGAAGAGGTATCTAGATATCTAGAGATAAATAGTATTAGTATTGATTTGGATATTAAAAATATGTATAGGAAATAATTGAATTCCATATTCGATAATGTGCAGATCATAGAGTCTCTGACTCATATTTTTTATTTGTAATAATGTACATTAGAGAATTCGCGTAAAATTGTGTCCCAAAAACTTTCTTGATGTAGATTAATGCCACTTCATTTCTTCAATTTTTTTTAAAAACTGTTTACGATACCATGTAAATTTACAATAACTCCATTCTAAAGATTGCAGATTTCCTTTATATTAGTAACATGATAAATATATTGTGAGATTGTAAATCGTGGACCAACCAATTGACCGTTAATATTGACCAATTAGAACGAACTTACTACGGAAGTCATGTGATGCGCT